AGCTTTATACTCTAAAATAGTTGGTTGTATGTGGCTTTAGATGTGTTTATTTCTGCTTAAAAATGACTCATTTCAACAGTGCTCATGATCAAGGACTTGGTTTTGTCAATAGTAAGACCAGGAATTCGCTTTTTTAAGTATAAGCCTCACTTTTCTGCTGTAGCTGGTTTAGCTTGATCCAGTCTGAAGCTGTTAAATGTAAACACGAGAAAGCCTTGAGTCCTTGCAGAAATTAAATCATGCGTCAGCAAATCAAGCTAAATTTAATGAAGAATTATTTATAACTCTATCCCTCAATCCATCCATTTTCTATACCTGGTTAATTAAATTCTCGATTGTGGGAGAACCGGAGCCAATCCTGGCCTCTACCATAGACAGGTCATCTAGGCTGGTTGCCAGTCCATTAGAGGGCAAAAATATTAAAAAGCAAGACAATGAAGACAAGACACTTCATAAATCTCAAAAGAAGATTCTAATCATTCATCCATTGGCTACGGCTTATTAGCATTGTGGGGGACTAGAGCCTATCACATTGGGGGAAGAGGAGGCTGCCACTCTGTCACAGGGCCACATGAAAATGAACAACCACACGCACAATGACACCAACCTCTATGGGCAATTTAGAGTTTTTAAAAAACCTAACATGAATGTTTTTGGACTTCTGTAGGAGATAACCCAATATAATAATTATGCAGAATATAATTCAGTTTTACTCAAAAGCATTGCCTCACATTTAGGACTCAAAATTAAATACATAGATTGATAGACAGACAGATATATAAGTCAAAGTAAAAAAAAACGATTCGTCATAAAAAGGTGAATTTCCTTTATGGTCTTTTCAAATCATATTTTTTCGTCACATCAAAAACTAAACCAAAAAAAAAAAAATCTTGTTTGTCTTTTCATAATGTAGTTGTAGTTTTTTTATGAGAATTCACACATTAAATTCTTTATCAATGTGCGTAGTGCTTTTTGTTACAGTAGTGGGCATTGCAGGGGTTTAGCAAACAGACGAGTGGCTGGCTGTGTAAGGGGTGAATCACCTTTTTTGAGAAGTAAAAGTATTGCATCATTACGTGGTTTCACTGTTACAGGCGTTCCAGATTCTGGTGACAGAACCCCCTTCTGTAAGGAAAACCAGCTGGCCACAGAAACCCAGTGTTGTGAGGCCATTGCACTGATGAAGCATACAACTGATGAAGTAATCATCAGGGAGAAGATCAAACAGACCTTCACCCATCGCCAAGCGATGGTTCATGACCAAGTGAGGTCCCTCTGAAAAATTCACCACCTTTCCAAGATTTCTTGACATCATGGGAATGGTATGTCACTCTTGAGCTGCCTTGCATTAAAATCGAGCTGAAATGATAAATGACTTTAAACAGATCACATCCCTGGTAAGCCCTAGTGCACCTATTAACGATGTATGTCATGGTGTTTTCTATATTCAATCTTGACTGCAGATAGAGCAGGATTTAAGTCAGATGTGTTGATGATTAGATCTCTACAATGTTCCTAGAGTAGCGGCCTACTGGCTCCAGGCAGAAAGTCCTTGAACAAAGTCGTGGCCTCACCCAGACAAGCGACCTTGAAGATCTCCTTCATAACACAGAATCTACAACAGAAGAACTTGAAGATGGTACACTCGAATTTAACAAATATATTATATATATATATACATAAAATTAGTGGCCAGTAAGTGGTTTTGGAACAATAAAATAGACATTTAAAAAAAAAATGTCTTTCTAAATTTCCTTGTATTTTCAGGATGGGATGGTGAAATGTCCTCCATCTTCCTCCTTATCCACCTCATGAGGGAATACATAAATTGGGAGCAATGTACTTCACCTTGCATCATCTTTCTCCAAAGCACAACTCAGTACTGCTTAATGTTCATTTGGTTGGGTTATTTCATACCCAAGACATTAAAACCTATGGCTTTTCTAAAATACTTGAACTAATTGTGCAAGACATTAAAGAGCTGGAGACTAAAGGAATTCAGGTCCCATTGTATGAGAAGTATGTGTATGGAACTATTGTCCAAGTTACTGGTGACAACCTTGATCTTCAGGGTTTGTTTGGTTTAGTAGAGTCATTCAGAGCCAGATATTGTTGCCGCTTATGTCTCGCTGAGAAAGAGGACTTTAAGACAGAATTTACATAAGATTCACCCAAGATAGTGATGTGAACTCAAGCACTTCTCGCAGAACACTGCCAAATAATGGAGAAAACTCCTAGTCTTCCCTATGTGTTGGATGTTAAACGTTCCTAAGTTCTAAATTCCTTGAAGTACTTTGATACATGTGAAAGCTTTGACAGGAGAATTAATAACTTTAACTATGGCTACTTGGAACAAAACAAGCCACCTGCATTGAAATTAGTAGAGGACTCAAATGACTTGGGTTTAAACACGATTCAAACTTGGTGTTTACCAAGGTGATCAATACTGGTATTTGCTTCTGTTGCTGCTTCAAATATTAGATATTGTATTTTCTCCCATGTTGTCAACTGGCATTACCATTTATTTGAAACATTTGATTTCAGAACACCATGGATTATTCAAGCATTTGTTTCCCAACAAGAAGCTACTACCAAAGCACCATTTTATGGTGCATTATCCTACATGTATTCGTAAAATTCGACCACTTTTGGACACACGTGGTGCATGCGCTATGAAGCGAAGCACAATTTCTTTAAAAACAACTAAAACGTTTAAAAATATAACTAAAACATTGGCAAAGAAACACCAAAGTCCAGTGGCATATAGTTGGCAAACATTTGAGCCCGACAGACTGGTGCTTGGTCCAACTAAAATTGTTACTTTAAATGTGATGGACAGGGGCTGTGGGATAGCAGGGGCTCTTCAGGTAGCAACTGACACAAAGGTGTTAGATGTTAGATGGGCCAAACACCAATGTGTATTGTCCAGGTTTAGTTGTTTGTCCTTAAGTGCATAATGCCAGTTTTTCACAAAATCCACCATGTTGTTCATAAAGACAAGAGTTTACTGTTGTTTACATTTGCATTACAAATAGTATGTATGGATGAGCATTTTTATGCATTTAAAGTTGTACGCACTGGAGAAGGACCTCATGTTGGTGATGTCAAAGACCTTTTGTGTCACAAAGCATTCGATATGCAGATGTCAGACAGTAATGAGGATTCAAGTTAATTTATTGTTCCATACTGTTTCCTGTGATAATAGTCGCTAAGCTCTAACTATTGCACCTGGGATGAACAATGGATTTCTCAATATCTTTGCCCCACAACTCAAATCCTAATCTACTCATATTTTCTTCTCTTTTATATAATCCACCCAATTTCAAAGAGTACATTGTGTCCAAATTGTGTAAATATAATATACATTTTTTGGCCTGGGCTGATGTCTATTTCAATATTTTACATCCGTATCTGCAGATACTGTAATGATTGTGTGAATATTTTACTTGTTTTGATTATGATATTATAGAGATGTGTCACCCCAAAATACTCCCCCCCCCCCCCCCATATTGATTACTCTGCCCATAGAGCCTTATTCATGGAAATTTTGGTTGCAAGTTTTGAGACCATTTTAATGATTCATGCATCATATGCATGGGCATTGACATGTATATGATGGATGCACAGTGCATCTGTTATGCATTTAAGAGCGACTTTTTTAAAGTTACTTCAAACATTTTAATCCAGAATGATTATTAAAATTCAATTAATAGTAAAATTAGACCTCTATTTTGAGGCCATCACTACTCTGTACAGAGTAAAATACAACTCTGTATTGAGTGAATGTTGGAGTTGTTCTCACTTTATGCTAAATTGAGTACATTTAAATCTTGTGGAGTAAAACATTAACTATAGATAGAGTAGAAATAATTCTGAAAATGTACCTCTATGATGGGAGTAAAATTTTACTCAAATTGAGTAAAAACATTTTCCGTGTAAGAGCGTCTTCCTTCGTATGGAATAATGTTCATTACAGTATTTCCCAAAGAAGAGCTCTTTCAATTTTCCTTTTTGTGGATGTCCCCGGCAGCTGTTTGTAGTTATTTATTATCTTTTTCACCTCCAACAGGTTTGTCTATACTTAGAACGTACCTCTTCTACTGTCTTGCTATTACCAGCAATGTAGCCTATAGGGCTGCCATCTAGTGACATCAAATGTTTTTCATTTACCCTAAAATCTTGGGCTATTGAATTCGAAGAGTTTATAATAAGATTGACTTGGTTTATGAAATTCCGAAAAGAGGAGATTGGTCACTTTTTCTTGTCTATGTGTGTTGGAACATTTGGGGAAAAGATGTTAAAGTAGAAATGTTGATCTACACAAGATTAAATGCTTTAAGGAAGTGTATGGAGTTTTTGCTGGTATTCAGATATTTTTGGTAAATGTTTCTTATGCATTCTGGTCTGTTTTGTTTTCTTCAGTACTATTCTACTATTTGTATACAGGCTGCATATGATTCCTACCACAGATCTGATCGGATCAAGGAAAGGCACAAAACATTGCCTAAATCTGGAGGAGGTACTGTATCGTTTCATTTTTCTGGCGTTTAATTGATCTTTCTGTAACAGCAGCCTGTGGAATCGGGAAGAGACACATTTTAATAAGACATCTGATGTGTTTACGTGGTTGACTTTCCGGAGGAAAGACGGTTTGTGTTCACAACTTGACCCACTTGAGCAACTTTGAAGTGCTGTATATTTTGGTCCATTTGTGTGGATGGTCTCCCTCCGCTGCCTCCTCGTGCCTCTCCCTCCCTCCATCCCTCCCTCCTTCCCTCACTCCCTCTCCTCCGCCGCTTATCTCTGTGCGCATCGTCAGCACTAGTTTGAAGTCAAATCTGACAGCCGCTGCCTTGTCCGCTCCTTTTCCCGTCTCCTTTTACTCCCCACCGCTCGTCTCACCTCTCGTAAAAGGTATCTCCCCGGTTTAGTGACTTAAACATATCGATGTAGTTCTTTTTTTTTTCTTCTTCTTTTTTTTTTTAGTTGGCTCGTTTTACCGCCCGGGATGCGCGAGTCCGCGGCTTCACCAGCTCTCCTTCTCAAACGTGGTCTCTCACCTTTCTCTCCTCGCAGCTCAGACGGGACCGCGGGGGGCCGCATCTGCTCGCTGTCTTCAACTTGGGGGCGAAGAAAGACGGGAGAAAACTCCTCGGAATTCTCCGTACACCGAGCGCTGATCCGGATTTTCTGGTGAGCACTCTTTTGACTCTCCGCTCGCGCCTGTCCGCGTGCCCCCCTCTTCCTCCCCACCACCTCCCCCCCGCGTGGTCAAAGTGCTCCGTTCCGCTTGAACCTGCCGCCGGCGGCGGGAAGCGGGCGGCCGAAAAAAAGCAGCCCGGCCGCCGGTGTTTTTTTTTTGTTTCGGTTGAACAAAAGGGGGAAAAGGGAGACACTTCTCTAGGTGGTTGCTCCAAATCTTTTCCCGCGGAGAGAACGGGGACGGAGCCCGTTCACCGCTGCTCCTCCGAAAGCTCCTTCCCGCTCCAACCGCGGGGCTTCGAAGTTTCCGCTCATTCTGCCCGTGAATTCAACGTTTTTTTATTTTTTTATTATTTATTTATGTTTAATAATCACTCGCATCGACAATATATCCAGCCCCTAAGGGAGGCGAGTGTAAAAAAAAAAAATGCCGTCCGGAGTGTGGGAAAGAGGAGCGTGAGGGGGAAGAAACATTTGAGGGATCCCTTAGGGAAGTGCTGCCTTCCCGTGTTTTATTAGAGGGGGTTTATTAGTCGTTTGTGTCTGCAAAATGATGACATTACCCTGGACTGTTCTGCAGCCTCTTCTTAATATGCCATCATTGTCAAATCCATTAGATATAGAGTTTCTACAGCATTCCTATCTGCACTGAGAGAAGAAAATCTATGGGGCCATTTGCTGCTTTTATTGTCCTGTTTATCAATTAAGCTTGTCTATAATGGAGATATCACACTTCCTCCAACATCAAACATTACTCTCCCACACACCATCCGTTAGCATCTCACCTCCCACATAGCCACACTTGCTGTCCGCGGCCGATTATCTGGTTATGTGCCACCATTTGAGCTAATAGAGAGCCCCTACTTAGTGTAATGACATCTCGATCTGTCAGTCCGCGAGCAGCCGAGGGTTGCTCGAAGGCTCATAAGCCGTGTCATGAAGGGCAGATTGAAAGGCCATAAACACACAAAAGACAAGACGGAGTGGTCGTGGAGGTTGTCTGAGTAGTTGGCTGATGTGTTTTATTGTCCGAGTACAGTATGGGGCCATTATTGTAAAGCATGTACCAAGAAATGTGTGTGTTTGTGTGTGTGAGGGAGAGAGAGAGAGAGATTTTGGATTTGTTCAGTCTTGTGTGCAAGCAAAGAATGAGCGAGCAAAAAGAAAAAGAGGGGCAGAGAGAGATTATGCTAACGCAAAGTTTTAGAGGAAAAAGAATACCCATGTAAGCAGTTTTTCCTTTGGCTCGTACAGTCATACGTCTGCCTGTCACAGTCACAGCTGACAAGCAGTAAGCCTCCTCCTGCTCCAGGTTTATGCAGAAGAAGGGTTGCCACTTATTTAAGCTCAACTTCCTGACCGCGCGCAGCGATGAGAGTCCAAGATCACTTGATGGAACTGGAACGTGGGCAGCTCAGGGCCTGGGCGACACCAGACGAAGAAGAGCTGGCCAGCCGTCTAGGGGCCCACCGAGAGCCGTCTCCATTAAGCCTTTCCTGTGTTGGAAAATTGAGAGAAAAAGCAGTAAATAATGACGCCTCCCCAGTTGGTATAGTGATGTATCAGCGTAAATTTATTTAATGGAAAAAGTGTCCCATGTTACCCTTCCCTCGATTTACCTCCCGCTCTCTGTTGAGATGAGTTTCGGGGCTAGAACTCGCACAGATGTGGCGGCGGAGAATTCGAGCTTCGCTGTAGACAAGGCCAGCAATCATTCAATGAACCAATCATTTAGCCCCTGCAACCCCCATCAGTTTTTCTTGTCAGGTGAAAATGAGATTTATTCTCCGATGACGTCGCTGATGTGCGGTGTCACTGATGATTATGATGACAGGGTTGTTAACGCTCCTCTTAACGATAGTTGTTACGCTGATCGTCAGAATGGCACGCGTAGTCAGACTAAACACAAATGAATGACTAATGAATGGAAAATCTTGAACCCGTCGCCCCCAGCAATTAGTAGTTCTGTTGGTGCGGCCCTCGTCCTCTTGCAACCCTGGTTTGTGTTCATTTGAGTGGGCGGTTCTGAGTGATCCGGTCGCTCCGAAACAGACATTTTCTGTCCTGATTAGGCTCCTCTCTGCGGGAAGGCCATGACCCGCATTTATCGGGGCGAGAGATAAATGGGGGTCATGGCCGCTAGCTGTAGCCTACCTCTCATTTTCCTAATGGCAGCTCAGATTTTGGATCAGGTTGTCACCACTTCCACCATCGTGGAAACACTGTGGCAGAGATGTACAGTTGTGTGGAATCAACTCTGTAGGAGCACAACCAGAAAAGAGACTGCAAATCAAAAAGTGTTATGTTTTTCTAGGCTACCGTACAAGAAGCAAGCCAAAGTCCTTCATCAACAAAAGGGAATGTGGAAAAGTTAGATATTTAGTTCCTCCGATCCATTGATGGGATGTCTTACCCATCCACAGCACGCTACAGGCTGGTAGCAGGCTGATAAGCTGTGATGGTTCAAATTCAATTTAAGTCACTGACTCTTACTTATCTAACTCTATTTAGATTCTGTTTAAAAAATAAGCTTTTCTCATGCTCCTACCGAAGACAGAGTTCCTTACAGGAACACAATCAGACACCCCTTCAGCCCAAGGTGGTCATTTATGCTTCTCTGGATACTGTGATACCAGATACTAGCAGAGCAGGTCCATCCTTCTTTACCCCTCAAGAGTCTCTTCAAAACTTATCTCCTCTGTGAACACCTTCCTGTGACACCTTCCTATAGCGCCCTCCTATAACACCTCCAACCTGCACTTACTTACCCTTCCATCGCACAGCTGTTCCTGCTCACCTTGCACTCGGCCCAAATGTGTACACCAGGCTTTGGTGGTGCACTGGAGCTTATGAGTGTTGTTCCTCCCACCGAAGTCGCTTTTAGATAAAAACATTTACCAAATGAGGAAAAAGTCGGATAATTCACTCGCTGTTGATGCGCTGTCAATTCTCAGGCAAGTGGCAAATGTTGCGTGTGAGCTGCGATTCTCTCTTAACTGTGGAGGGTAAGTCTGAGCGAAGCGAGGAGGAACTTAACTGCAGAAATGACGAATGTCTTAAAGACTCAAAACTGTCACTTCAACAGATTGATGGAGTCATTAATGTCATGCATTCAGAGCCTGAAACGGCTTTGGCACCTCATGTTTTTTCCCCCCGAGTTTGTTTCCCATCCGTAGGTAGGTAGCTGCATTACGTCAAGGTGATAATGGTGTTACGCTGCCGCAGTCGTGAGTAGGGGAGCAGCTTCTTACATCAGAAGAAGATTAGAAAGACAAGATGTTCTTTTCCTCAGTGCTCCACATTCTGACAGCTCTGTAACTTCCAGCATGTTTGAACAGATCCAAACAGGTTAAGGGGCCTTTGCAAAATCAAGAGAAGCCGGGTATCTTTTGTTTGACAGGGTCGGCTCTAATTATATTAATTGTTATTAAGATGGCGGACTGGCACCGCCACAGTCCTGCGAACCTGACAATTCATGCAAAATGGTAGCGGCATGCAAAGCAAATCCAGATTTTTCCCAGTGACAGATTGTGAGTGTTTTTTCTTCTCTTTTTATTTCTTCCGCTTGCTGTTTGTTCTCCCAGATGCACACTTGATAAATCACACATAGCGGCGCACACACATTTAGATGCACTCGCACGCACACTATTAATCCTAACTCGAACAGATTTGAAAATAAAGCATTCAGCTCATCTGAACAATACCAAGTTGAAGACACATTTTCTGCCATAATTAGTCAAAACCCTCTCGCAGGCATCCGCCCGTTCTGTCAGGCAGTGCGTGGCCTTGGGTTTAAAAATAGCCGAGCACAAACAGAAATACACACCCGGAGTTTTAGCAGGGACAGCCCCGGTGTGCTGGCACCAAACCAAAGAAGTGGCGATAACAAGGTTGAAGTTGGTCAGGATTTTTCTTTTTTTTTTGCCGGGCCTCAAACCTTCGTGCTCCGCTTTCTAAACCTGATTCATCCCACAATTGGATGTTTTTCCAAAGAAAGGAGATGAAAGTGAAGAGAGAAAAAAAAAACACATTCTCACACGCCTGTGTTTCCCTTTCCCTTTTTTTTCTCTTTCCCTTGCCAGATACAGCCCCCCCCTTACGCACACACTCACACACACACGCACAACAGCACACACACGCACACACACCCTCCCATCTATTACTCTCATACTCTCACACACTATCTGTTTCACACCCCGTTCCTTCCTCCCATTCTCTCACATCTCTCTCCTCCCCTGGCACCTCGATGTGTTTCTCTTTAATTGAGATGCATTTCAATGTGGTGCAAATTAGCTTTCTCCAGCTCAAGTCTAAACTTGTGTGTAGGTGCCCGTGCGTGCATGTGTGCGCTGGCGCGCGCGCGCGTGTGTGTGTGTGTGAAGAGAATTCCCACAGTTGAAAGTGAAGACGCTACCTTCCTGTTCATTTCTCCATCGAGGCTTCTGATTCCACCTCTCTCCCACAAACTTGCATTTTCAACACGGCTCTAATGAAAATGGTCCTTTTTGGAAACCTTTCGGTTTCTGCCTTTTGGCTGGAGGGGTTTATTTGCATCACCAACCTCTCTCTCTGTATGGATTTGGATTCTGATCAATGCCTCTGAGAGATGACAGTGCATGGCAGCTCATTAGGGAGAGGGACGTTTACAAAACGGGAGGGGGGGGGTCACAAAGGTTACAAAGTCATGTATTTATAAATGCCATGCTTGTCTTACTTATTTCCCCAATCTGGTCCAGTGCTTAAATGCTGAAGCCCCATACCCCAGATATTCTACGTACTGCACAGTGAGGTAATTACTTTAAAACCTGGGAATATATGACTAATTTTATTAATTGACTAAATGTAAGATATAGTTTCTGAGAGAGGCAGTACAACATTTTTCTTGTAATTAACACTTTCTGTTGAGTTTTCTTTTTCTTCGGGCGGAAACTTGGATGTTGTCTAGAAATTAGAGCAACGTCTTCTAACCCGGGGGTTCATAACACAACATGTTGATGACTGCAAATCTCTGGGGTTTCGGTGGTATTAAAAAACAAAGTGGTGAAAGTGAAACAAAAGCAGTTCAGGATGACTTTCTAAATCAGGCCCTTTTGTCATGAGGCACTTTGAAACCGCTGGCTGGACTGCAGACGCAGCCTGTCAAACGGAGCCGCAAATAGACCCGAAAATGGGCAGCAATGTGCTCAAAACGGTCCACATAGGAGTAGCATTTGAGTCACTGTAACGCCCTGACATGCCGTTGTGGTATTGGATTGTTCTCTCTTTGTATGACCAAAGCTTTAGCTTTCAGTCAGATAGCTTCATATTTGACCCTT